CCAAGTAGCTGGGACTACAGGCACCTGCCACAGTCCTCTGCTATTTTTTTGTTATAGTTGTCATTGTTGGTTAGCTGGCCCAGCCTGGGCTCGAACCTGCCACCCTTGTTGTATGTGCTGGCACTGTAACCACTATGTTCTAGGCACCAAGCCATGGATATTTTCATCTCTTAAGACATCACTTATGAGTTCAGCACCTGTAGCATAGTGGTTATGGCATCAGCCACATACACCAAGGCTGGCAGGTTCGAATCCAGTCTGGGCCAGCTAAACAACGACAGCTGCAACAAAAAATAGCCGGGCATTGTGATGGGCTCCTGTAGTCCCAGCTATTTGGGAGGCTGAGGCAAGAGAATTGCTTAAGCCTGGGAGTTTGAGGTTGCTGTGAGCTGTGATGCCACAGCACTGTACCCAGGGTGACAGTGGAACTCTGTCTCCAAAAAAAAAATAAATAAATAAATAAAAAGACGTCACTTATGCTCCAGCTCATCTAGATACTGATATCACTTAGTGTGTCAAATATAACATCTGACTCTTCTACGGAGATAACCTTGAGTTGGTTTAATTTGTTTATCTTTTGTATTCACAAAACCAAGAAATCCACACTGTTTCAGAGAATGTCATAGTATATGATATTATGGAAAAGTATAACAAAACAAAATTAGGGAGCTATAACTTGCTCAAAGGTACTTTCAACTTATGTAAGAAGATGGGAAAAACAGACTGAGTTTTGTCCACTGTACTCTCATCACACGGCTCGCTCTGCAATTGCAGGTTTATTGGGTTTTCCTCCACATACGAAACAAGCAGTTCTGCAGTGGACAAAAGTGGATATCCTTTTACATAATTCTATTAGGACACACTGCCTGGATGTAGGGTCACATCCCACAGGTTGAGGGCTCAATTTCACAACAGTGTGCTCACTTAAAGCAGTGTCCATCACAAGCAGAGGTAATGGCCTGTTTCTGACTGACTGGCTCTAATTCATGAACTCCCCCCTCCTCAGATTTGGTTAGCTTGCTGGAGGGGCTCACAGAACTCGGGAGGTCACTTTACTTATGTGTATCTAAGATACCACAACTCACACTAATGAAGAGCCATATGGGAGCAGTCTGTTGGGTGAGTTAGGAGAGAGGTGTCCAGGGGTCTCGGTACCCTCTTTGATCGTGTCACCCTTCCAAAGCCTCCCGCCCGTATTCTCCTATTCCTCTGTTTTGGGGTTGTTGCATGGAAGTTTCATTACAAAGCCATGATTGTTCCCATCATTCCTTACTGGTGATCAATTTTCTCTACCTGTCACTCCCCTCAGGAGAAGTTGCTTCCTGGGGCTAAATTCTCAAATGTCTAATCCAGCCTTGGTCTTTCCAGTGATCAGACCCCATCCTGAAGCCACCTCAGGTCTTCCAGCCACCCCTGTTTCATTAGCACACAGAAAGGTCCTTAGTGCTTCACAGGTTTCTGGTGAGCTCTATGTCAGGAAAGGGTGCCAAAGACTAAATGTGTGTGTCTGCCATCCTGCTTACCTCAGTTTAAGTTATTCTAACAGTTCTTCTCATTTTATGTGAAGATTAGAAGTCTCCCCATGGTTACATGGTGAAATGTGTTTTCTGTTTTAGGGACAGTTGACATTCAGGGATGTGGCCATAGAATTCTCTCAGGAGGAGTGGAAGTGCCTGGACCCTGCTCAGAGGGCTTTATACAAAACCGTGATGTTGGAGAACTACTGGAATCTGGTCTCCCTGGGTAAGGATAACTTTTTCGGAAGTTAGGATATATTCTCTCTCTCTCTCTCTCTCTTTTTTTTTTTGAGTGAGCAGTGGTGCTTTTTACTAAGTTTCAAATTACGATATGTATTTGCTGGGTGGCACCTGTGGCTCAGTGGGTAGGTGCTGGTCCCATATACTGAGGGTGGTGGGCTCAAACCCAGCCTCAGCCAAACTGCAACAACATCAACAACAAAATAGCAGGGCGTTGTGGCAGGCACCTATAGTCCCAGCTACTCAGGAGGCTGAGGCAAGAGAATCGCCTAAGCCCAGAAGCTGGAGGTTGCTGTGAGCTATGTGACGCCACGGCACTCTACTGAGGGCGATAGAGTGAGACTCTGTCTCTACAAAAAAAAAAAAAAAAAAATGTATTTGCTTATGTATGTATAGATTAACTCTTAAAGGATACAGAATGATGCCCCCCCCCCCAAAGATGTCCATGTCTTAATCTCCAGAATCTGAGAATGTTAGGTTACATGGCAAGGGGGAAATAAGGTTACAGATGCAATTAAGGTTGGTGATCAGCTGACGTGGAGATGAGCAGATTATCCTGGATTATCTAGGTAGGTTCAGTGTAACCCAGGGATCCATGTATGGAAGAAGATTGTAGAAGAGTGTCAGAAGGATGCAGCATGAGAAAGATTCCACTCGCTGTTGCTGGCTTTGAAAATGGAAGCAGGCCTTCAGGAATGCAGGTGGCCTCTAGAAACTGAAAAAGGGAGGCCAGGCATGGTGCCTCATTCCTGTAATCCTAGCACTCTGGGAGGCCAAGGCGGGTGGATTGCTTGAGTTCAGAATTCATGACCAGCCTGAGCAAGAGTGGAACCCCATCTCTACTAAAAACAGGAAAAACTAGCCAGGCATGGTTCAGGAGGCCTGTAGTCCCAGCTCCTCGGGAGACTGAGGCAAGAGGATCTCTTGAGCCCAAGAGTTTGAGGTTGCTGTGAGATATGATGCCATGGCACTCTACCAAGGGTAACAAAGTGAAATTCTGTCTCAAAAAAAAGGAAGAAAGAAAACTAGCTGGGCATCATGGCGGGTGCCTGTAGTCCTAGCTACTGGGGAGGGTCATGTAGGAGAATCACTTTAGTCCAGGAGTTTGAGGTTGCTTTGAGCTACAATGATGCTAGAACACTCTATCTAGGGCAACAGAGTGAGATTCTGTCTAAAAAAAGAACAGAAAAGAGAAGAGAGAAGGGGAGGGAAGGGAAGGGGAGAAGGAGGAGGAAGAGAAGAGGAAGAAACCAGAAAAGAAAAGGAACCAGATTTTCTCCTCTAGAGCCTCCACAAAGGACTACAGCTCTGGTGGCTCTTTGATTTTAGTTAGAGACCTCTTATCAGACTTCTAACCTACAAAATTTAAAAAAAAAAATCAATTTATGGTGTTTTAAACTACTAAATTTGTAGCAATTGGTTACAACAGCAACAGGAAACTAGCACAAATCAAGAAACTGGTTACACTGTTTTCTCTAGGGAGGAAAATAGTCCAGAGACAGAGTGGGATAAGAGTAATAAGAGCACACGTGAAAGTATTATTTTTTTATTTTTTTGAGACAGAGCCTCAAGCTATCCCCCTGGTAAGAGTACTGTGGCATCGCAGCTCACAGCAACCTCCAACGCCTGGGCTTAAGCGAGTCTACTGCTTCAGCCTCCTAAGTAGCTGGGACCACAGGCACCTGCCACAACACCCGGCTATTTTTTGGTTTCAGCCATCATTGTTGTTTGGCGGGCCCAGGCTGGATTTGAACCTGCCACCTTAGGTGTATGTGGCTGGCGCCTTAGCCGCTTGAGCCATAGGCAAAATGTTTTGAATGTTTGGGGATTCCGTATAAGTCTTACCCTCCATCCAGTCTGGACACAACTGATCCACTCTAACCAAATATGCCATCTGGTAATTTTGCCTTCTCAGCATAAATTCCCATTCCTTCAGTTACCCAAGTCTAATTTTTCTTTGGGAAAAACTTTCCCATTCCCACTGCCTGGCCCTGTGGGTTTGGAAGTTAGGATATATTCTTGTGTTTCTTCACATTTTCCCTTGTGAATCTCTTAGGACCTTCTGCATTGCCTAATTAAGATTGAAGCCTTATTAACTCAAAAATGAAAAGCTTAAAAATCAACAATCTGGATGTTAATTATCCCCTATCTTCAGCTCTTCTGCTGCCTTAATGATGCATCATTGGATCATTTCAGAGCTTTTGTATGCATCATATTACCTGTGTCAGAATTTATTTTTTGAGACAGGTTTTGCTTCCTTGCCTGGTCTACAATGCAGAGGCTGTATCATAGTTCACTGTAGCCTCAAACTCCTGGGCACAAGCGATCCTCCTGCCTAAGCCTCCCAAGTAGCTGGAACTACAGACGTGCACCACCATGCCTGGATAAGGTTTTTTTTTTTTTTTGGTAGAAATTGGGTATTGGTGTGATGTTTAAGCTTCTCTTGAAATCCTGGCTTCAAATGATCCTTCTTCCTCAGCCTCCCAGAATGCTAGGATTACAGGCGTGAGCCACTGTGCCTAGCCAAGTGTTGAAATTTTAAAATCTCCAATTTCCTGTCTTCTCCCTCTCTGCGTTTACTTTAGTGGTTCATGGGGTAGAGTTAGATGTCTGTATATTATAGTGTTTCCTAATCAGTCAGGATAAGTATTTAAAATGTTTGCAAGATCCATCTGTGATGTCCTCTCATGTAAATGTAGGGATGGGATTCTAGAAAAGCCACAGCACATTATTTCTTTCTTCTCATAAACAGGAATCTCTAGTTTTGACATGAATATTATCTACATGTTAGAGGAAGGGAAAGAGCCCTGGACTGTGGAGAGCCAAATGAAAACTGCAAGAAAACCCAATAGATGGAAATATAGCAAAGGTACAATCACAGGTAAGAGCTCTGATGGTGAGAGAGAAAGCCACTCCTTAAATAGAGTGTGGGAAACTGCAAATGGAGGAGGTCTTTGGGCAAATACAATTTCTGTTCTGTGCGCTCTGGAAGGCCATAAAATCAATGGAGAATTCATAATGCAGAGAAACCTTACAGACTCAATGAATGTGGTAAGGTCTACAGTTACAATTATAATTTGTCATTATACAATAAAATTTTTAAAAATCATATTACAGTTCTTGTAGTCTGTACTTCTTCATTTCTCTTAGGAGAAACCCATTTATAATTCCACAAGCTTTAACTTTTTATAAATGTGATTACTGATTCTTCCAAACTCATTTTATCATGGTTTCTAAAAAATCATTAGTTTCTATATGATGTATACATGATGGTTTTCAGCATGCATTATGAAATATAACTATCATGCACCACTTGTTAGTGTTACAAAATGTCTATTCTGTGTAGTATAGATACAGTTTTCTAACAGAAATTTAGCAAAAATACTGTTTTTTTCTGACATTGTTTTATTGAATTCTTCCTCATTTTCCCAGTGCTGTGATTATTTCACAGTTAAAAATTGCCTTTTTTTTTTTTTTGAGACAGAGTCTCAAGCTGTTGCCCTAGGTAGAGTGCTGTAGCATCACAGCTCACAGCACCCTCCAACTCTTGCTCTTCAGTGATTCTCTTGCCTCAGCTTCCAAAGTAGCTGGGAGTACAGGCACCCACCACAATGCTTCACTACTTTTTGTTGTCATTGCAGTTGTTGTTTTTAGCTGACCCAGGCCAGGTTCAAACCTGCCAGCTACAGTGTATGTGGCCGGCGCCCTACCCACTGAGCTTTGGGCATCGCCCCAAATTGCCACTTCTTAATTATTGACTACATAGGTTATTTATCATTATATAATAGTATATGATATTGTGCTTTATGCAGAATTTATTTATACATAATAAATATGCTTTAAATACATACAATATAAAATTTATCTTCAATTATGAGACAACCAACTGGTTCGAGATCATGGTGAAAAAATACACTTTGAAGGCTAACACATAGGCTTGCACTATATGAATGCTGGGTTATAGGTTGCCTAAATCTAGGCTTCCCTACTATGTGAATTGCATGTAGCCACATTGTTAAAGAATACTATTATTTTGTTTCTTAATATTGAAATTCATGGTTTCAAAGGTTCATAACTTTAATATGAGTATTCATTTTAAATAATATACTTTTTAGTATGAAATATTTGTTCACATACTGTTATTAATTGGAAGCCAATGGTTCTTTATATTTATAGATCTTTCTCCTGAATTTGTTGTCAAAGATTTACTACCAAAAGGGAAAAGTGTTGCAGGAGAAATATTCCAAACAGTGATGTTAGAAAGACATGAAAACCATGACATTGAAGATGTTTCCTTCAGAGAAATCCAGAAAAATATATTTGACTTTGAGTGTCAGTGGAGAGATGAAGAAGGAAATTATAAAGGAGTGCTCATGACCCAGAACAAAAATCTCACTGGTAGCAGAGGCCAACAGGATAGAAGAGATGCAGGAAACAAGGGTATTAGTGACCAGCTTGGGTTAAACTTACATTCACAACTATCTGAACTGCAGCTGTTTCAAGGTGAAAGGACAGGGTATGAAAGTCATCAAGTTGAGAAGTCTGCCAGCTGTGGTTCTTCAGTGTCCTCACATCAACCAATTCCTTCTCCTGTCAGAACTCACAATTCTAAAAAATATACAAATGAATTTAGCTATCTTGCATTATTCACGCAAGGACAAAAAGCGAACAATTGGGGAAAACCTTACAAATGTAATGAATGTGGCAAGGTGTTCACTCAAAATTCACACCTTACAAGTCATAAAAGAATTCACAGTGGAGAAAAACCCTACAAATGTACTGAATGTGGGAAAACCTTCAGTGTTCGTTCAAACCTAACTATCCATCAGGTAATCCACACTGGAGAAAAACCTTACAAATGTAATGAATGTGGCAAGGTCTTCAGTCAGCCTTCAAACCTTACGGGTCATAGGAGAATTCATACTGGAGAGAGACCTTACAAGTGTAATGAGTGTGGGAAAACCTTTAGAGGACATTCAAATCTAACTACCCATCAATTAATCCATACTGGGGAAAAGCCTTTCAAATGTAATGAATGTGGCAAGCTCTTCACTCAAAATTCACACCTTGCAAGCCACTGGAGGATTCACACTGGAGAGAAACCTTACAAGTGCAGTGACTGTGGCAAAGCCTTTAGTGTTCGTTCAAGCCTTGCTATTCATCAGACAATTCATACCGGAGAAAAACCTTACAAATGTAATGAATGCGGAAAGGTATTTAGGTACAACTCCTATCTTGGAAGGCATCGTAGAATTCATACTGGAGAGAAACCTTACAAGTGCAATGATTGTGGCAAAGCCTTTAGTATGCATTCAAACCTAACTACCCACCAGGTCATCCATTCTGGGAAAAAACCTTTCAAGTGTAATGAATGTGGCAAGGTTTTCACTCAAAATTCACAACTTGCAAATCATCGAAGAATTCATACTGGAGAGAAACCTTATAAGTGTGATGAGTGTGGGAAAGCTTTTAGTGTGCGTTCAAGCTTAACTACCCATCAGGCGATTCATACTGGAGAGAAACCTTACAAATGTATCGAGTGTGGCAAGGGCTTCACTCAAAAGTCACACCTTACAAGTCATCAGGGAATTCATTCTGGAGAGAAACCTTACAAGTGTAATGAATGTGGCAAAGTCTTCAGTCAAACTTCACAGCTTGCAAGGCATTGGAGAATTCATACTGGAGAGAAACCTTACACATGTAATGAGTGTGGAAGAGCTTTCAGTGTTCGGTCAAGCCTAACTCTTCACCAAGCTATACACACTGGACAAAAACCTTACAAATGTCATGAATGTGGCAAGGTCTTTAGGCACAATTCATATCTTGCAACTCATCGAAGAATTCATACTGGAGAGAAACCTTACAAGTGTAATCAGTGTGGCAAAGCCTTTAGTATGCATTCGAACCTAACTACCCATCAGGTCATCCATACTGGAGAAAAACCTTACAAGTGCAGTGAATGTGGCAAGGTCTTCACTCAAAATTCACACCTTGCAAATCACCGAAGAATTCATACTGGAGAGAAACCTTACAGATGCAATGAGTGTGGGAAAGCCTTTAGTGTTCGCTCAACACTAACTACCCATCAGGCGATCCATACTGGGAAAAAACCTTACAAATGTACTGAATGTGGTAAGGTCTTCACTCAAAATTCACACCTGGCAAATCACCGAAGAATTCATACTGGAGAGAAACCTTACAGGTGTGTAGTGTGTGGGAAAGCTTTTCGTGTACGTTCAAGCCTCACTACCCACCAGGCAATCCACACCGGAGAAAAACCTTATAAATGTAATGAATGTGGCAAGGTTTTCAGGCAAAGTTCAAACCTTGCAAGTCATTGCAGACTTCATAGTGGAGAGAAACCTTACAAATGAGTGCGGCATTATCATCAGTCATACATAGGTCACTCCTTTCAGAATATTAGAGAACTCATTCTTGAGAGAATGACTATGGCCAGTCCTTCATAAGTCAATAGCAAGGCAGTTGATGATGAGGGACATCATGTAAATGTACATGGCAGAGGCTTTGTCTAAGCCTCAGAGCTCACTGGGCGTCAAAATACACATATTCGATGAAACTACACAAATGTCATGTGTATGGTGATGTCATTGCCCAGTAACTGCAACTGTAGGTGAAGATTCCTATGAAGAACAACTGTCTCTAGTTTCCCAATTAAACTTTGATATTTTATACTGCAGAAATATACAAGTCCAAATATTTAAAACTTTTCATATATTATTAAAGATCACAGGATGTTTGTACATGGCCAGTTACCTTCAGGTAGTAAAATGTTTTATTGAATTATTTAGGGCTTCTTGGAAAGATTATAGGCAGGGCGTGGTGGCTCAGGCCTGTAATCCTAGCACTCTGAGAGGCTGAGGTGGGTGGATTGCTTGAACTCACAAGTTTGAAATCAGCCTGAGCAAAAGGGAGACCCCGTAGCTACTAAAAATAGAAAACCTGAGACAAGAGGATCGCTTAAGCCCAAGAGTTTGAGGTTGCTGTGAGCTGTGAAGCCACGGCACTCTACCTAGGGTGACAGCTTGAGACTCTGTCTCAAAAAACAAAAGAAAAGATTGATTGTGATTTTCAATCTGAACTTTGAAATCTGTTGATATTATGCGTCCTTACTCACCTTTGATGGTGGTTTCTGGGAAAGGATCAGTAGGATGTAAGGGCTCACGTCATTTGGTGAGGATTATTTCTATCCAATTTGTGAAGGATGACACTACCTTTGAAAATGTAATATTGTCTGAATTAGTGTCTATAAGGGGCTGAGAATAATATAAAGCCATGATATTAGTCATCATGGTTATTGTGTTCAGGGTGCCTTTTTCCTGACAGGAGGACACTCTTAGTTCAGAGAGAGATGCTGTGCCAACTGACCATCACATGAGCAGGCCAAAACCATGGGACACTAGCATTTTTATGTGAGGAGAGCAGTAGATAATTGGGGACTGGTTGTGTGGTAGAAACAATGCAGAGGACATGGTGACCACCTTCCTTCTCCACTGAATAGCAATAGCTGTTTTATAACAAAGACTGATTTAAAATTAGTCTTGCTTTTGCAGTTGAGATTAAACAGTTAACCAGAGGGAAAGTTTATTCAAAGAGAACCAGAATAACATGTTCTTGAGTAGGACTCATTAACTGCTGGAATCACATTTTGTTTCCGTTTTATTCGGACTGTATCATAGAGTAAAAAAGAAGACTGTACCATAGATGTGATGTTTTAACTAATACAATTTAATCTTTTAAAATCACTCAATGCATCCCATTCTTTTGCCAACATTTTATTCTATCTCAGTAGGATGCTTTATGATAGTCAACAACAATGATGCACTATTAGGCTCTTGAAGCATCAGAAACAGTTTTTTCTAGCTGGGTGTTGTGGCAGGTGCCTGTAGTCCTGGCTACTTGGGAGGCTGAGGCAAGAGAACCAATCGCTTAAGCCCAAAAGTTTGAGATTGCTCTGAGCTGTGATGCCACGGCACTCTACCGAGGGTGACAAAATGAGACTCTGTCTCAAAAAAAAAAAGAAAAGAAACAATTTTTTCTGTGGTGGACTCAAATAACATACAATTTGGGGAAACATATTTTGCAGATAAGTTATGCTTTCCACACTCTGGCATAGGGTACTTATTTGAGTATAATGAAAATGCCATAGAAAGTGCATTTCCCATTCTTTTTTTTTTTTTTTTTTTTTGAGACAAGAGTCTCACTATGTCGCCCTCTGGCATCACAGCTCATAGCAACCTCAAATTCTTGGGTTCGAGTGATTCTCCTCCCTCCAGTTTCCCAAGTAGCCAGGACCACAGGTACCCACCACAATGCCCAGCTATTTTTTTGTTGTAGTTGTCATTGTTGTCTGGCAGACCTGGCTGGGTTCAAACCTGCCAGCTCTGGTGTATATGGCTGGCGCCTAGCCACTGAGCTACAGGCACTGAGCCATACATCTTACATTCTTAACACCTTAAAATCTGTATTGCTATTGATATATATGTATCACGTGGTTGTATTTCCACATTACCAATTCCTGTGTGTATAATAAGGCCCATAGTCTTGACTTACATGCAATGAAAATGCAAATTATGGAAAAATATAAAAAATACGACATGAAACATTTGAGGAATAAAGATGAAAATAACACCACCTTCATTTTGTTTTTGACATATTCACTGACATAACTGAAAAAGATTAATGTTCATGAATTTCCCCTTCAGAATGAATGTACACAACATGAATTTTCTTTTGTCCTGGCAGATGAACTACAAACTTAATATATTCACTGCCATATGGTTTTTAGTAATTGAGCCTTGGGACCACTCCGCTGGAACTGGATTGAACACCTAAATCTTGGTTTAGATATTGAGAATGATACCAGGCACAGTGGCTCAGGCTTGTAATCCTAGCACTCTGGGAGGCCAAGGCAGATGAATCACCTGAGCTCAGGAGTATGAGCCAGAGTGAGACCCCATCTCTAAAAAATAGGCATTGTGCCAAGTGCCTGTACCTCCAGCTACTCAGGAGACTGAGGCAAGAGAATAGCTTGAGCTGAGGAGTTAGAGGTTGCTGTGAGCTATGACGCTACAGTACTCAACTCAGAGCAATAAAACAAGACTCTGTCTCAAAAAAAAAAAAAAAGTAGATATTGAGGGCTCGGCTCCCATAGCACAGTGGTTATGGCACAGGCCACATATCCCAAGGCTGGCAGGTTTGAACCCAGCCCAGGCCAGCTAAACAACAATGCCAACTACAACCAAAAAAAAAAAGCCAGGCCTTGTGGTGGGCACCTGTAGTCCCAGCTACTGGGAGGCTGAGGCAAGAGAGTTGCTTAAGCCCAAGAGTTTGAGGTTACTGTGAGCTGTGACACCACAGCACTCAACCGAGGGCAACATAGCAAGACTGTCTCAAACAAAAAATAGATTTTGAGAATGATGCTCATAAACTAAAGTGGTGTGAGGCTATTACATAATGTGGCTTTCTCAGAAGCTGGCAGACTTCCAAAGCTGGTCCAAAAATAGCTTGAGAGAGCAGAGATAAGGAACTCACTTGGGGTATTCTGGATGTTAAAAGGTGGGATTGGATGGCACTACCCACACCCACACCGTTTGAACTTCACTCCAAGAGAGGGAGACTCAGGCATTACTAGCCTGACAAGACAGGCAGAGAGGAAGAGGGAGTGCAGAGGAGTAAAAACTTGTTAATAGTCCAGCATCACAAAATGGAAACTAGTATAACACTGAATGTTTGCTCTTGAAACTCCTGAATTCTCTGTTAGTGAAGACCTCAATTTAAATATTTTTTATTTTTAATTGCTATGGGTACATAATAGTAGAATATCTTTTAGGGTACATGTGATGTTTTGATACAAGTGAGTTAATCAAATTAGGATAATTGGTATGTCCATCTCCTTGGGCATTTAACATTCCTTTGTGTTAGGAACAACCCAGTTATATTTTTGCAGTTATTTTTTTATTTTCTTTTACTATTTTATTTTAATTTGATTTTATGTTGGAGACACAGCCTAACTCTGTAACCCCAAGTAGAATGCTGTGGTGTCATCATAGCTCACAGCAATCTCAAACTCCTAGGCTCAGAGATCCTCTTGCCTCAGCTTCCTACAGTGCCCACCATGATGCACAACTAGTTTTTCTAGTTTTAGTAGAGATAGGGTCTCATTCTTGCTCAGGTTGATTTCAAACTCTTGAGCTTAAGTGATCCTCCGACCTTAGCCTCCCAGAGTGTTAGGATTACAGGCATCAATCAACCACCCATTATCCATCCTCACTTTATTCACTCTCCACCCAACCCTGTCCAGATTCTGGTAACCATCATTCTACTCTTTGTCTCCATAAGAGCAATTGTTTTTATTTTTTTATTTTTATTTTTTTTTTTTTTTGAGAC